GATTTGATTTGAAACTGTCTCATTGCTATATGTTTATCAATAAAACTGTAGGGAAAAAAAAAAAAAGACTGACAAAAATGATCAGATGCTTGTGTACCATCAGTGGGACAGTCCTGCATGTGCCACTGTTGGGAAGGTAAAATATAGTGGATGCTGCACTGCATTTCTTCACCAATTCTATCCCATCATGAGTTAGGAGTCACTTAAAGAGTAAAGTCCCATATGGTTCTTTCAGTTTACAATAACTCAAGTTTTCTTGAGGCTGGCACTGTGGCCCAGTCCATTGTTTTTCCCTAGAGCTATGACCATCTTTGGGCTCACCTTGTGTTAGCAGAGTCAGGATCCCACCTTCCTGAGAGCTAAGGCTAATTCTGAAGACTGCTTTTTTCCTTTCTATGTTTTATTCCAGTTTTCAACTTCTTTGTAGTTTCTAGGTTTTCTGTCTGCTTCCTTCTGACCCCTGGAGATCTACTGTAGTTTTTTTTTTTTTTTTTTTTTCTATTTTTTTTTTTGTGTGTGTGTGTGTGTGTGTGTGTGTGTGTGTGTATGGCCAGCTCAGCCCACCAGGGAACGCGGCTGGCTGGCATGTGGTGCTGGGGGATCGAACCGCGGTCCCTGTGCTTTGCCAAGCTTGTTCCAAGTAGGTGCTTTAGACCACTGAGCCATCTCTCCAGCCCTACTGTAGTTTTTGATTCACCAAGTTTTCCAGCTCCCTCAGTTCTAGATCTTGGATAGGCTGTATTTTGCTGTCTTTATGCTGTCATTTTGTTTTTTGAGACAGAATCTTACTGTATAGTTTAAGCTACTCTTGAGCTCACTTTGGTACCCAGGCAGGTCTAGACTCTTGATCCCCCTGCCAGCTTCTAGAGTTCTTTGGTTTGTATGTGTCTCTGAGAAAGAAAAATACTGCTGTTTCGACACAATGCTTTCATATCCCTTAGAAATTCTCATTTTAAACTAATAATAGTGTTTTTTTTAAAGTTTTTATTGTATCAATTCTTCCTTTAGTTGCCTTTCTTGATATGTAGATTTCTCTCTAAAAAATGTCATTCGGCATCGCGCAACTTCTGGGGCTCTTACTTTCTTAAGTTTCATGAAGCGTATGGTTGTTGTTGTATAATAAAATAAGAAACTGCTGGCATTTTTTCAGCAAAAGTACTTATTTCATAGCAGCAAATTCATGCCTTCTTTCTTTTCTAAGTAGTGACATATAGCAGAAACTTGACATTAATATTATAGTGGTTAACTTAAGTGCAGTAGCCACAGTGTGTATAAGTGCATTGATGTGGCAGCATGAGGAAAATATAATAAAGCTACATGCTTATAGCTCATTGGTAGTTCCTTTGAGGCTGCTGCCTGGCTCCTGTAATGATAACAAATTATTGATTATAAGATTATCTCAATTATAAAAATGATGAAATGTCAGGAAAAAAATTTTCCTTGGAGGTAATGCTTGTGTATATTTTACTATTGCTTTCTTATTCATTCTGTAAGCCATTTTCCTTAGATCAGAAATTTTAAACTATATTTGGCAATTGTAGTATGCATATATCTCTCTGTATTTCCAAAGGAAAGGGGAAATAAGTTGATACTTTTGCTTTTTAAAAAAATTTATTTTATTTGGTACAGGGTCTCACTATGCAGTTCAGATCCTCCATTTTCAGCCTCCCCAGTGCTGGGATTACAGGCATGTGCTACTATGCCCGGCTTTGGGGCCCACACAGTGCGCTCAAGGTGCTGGGGCCAGCACTGCATGTGGTACTGGGGTTCAAACTTGAGTCCTTATGCTTACCAGACAGGTGCTTTAGACTGCTGAGTGCTGAGCTCTCTCCGTAGCCCTTTTTGCTTATGTTTTATTCTTCTTAAATAATTTTCATCTTAGATGTGTTTGATGGACATCTGCTGGGCTCCACAGACAGCCAGGTGAAGGAAAAGTCAACGATGAAAGCCATCTTTGCAAATTTGCTTCCAGGAAACAGCTATAATCCTATTCCATTTCCTTTGTAAGTATTATAAATACCAGTGGCTATTACATGGTTTTATTTTTCCTTAATTAAAAAAAAAAGCTCTCCCTAGATTCTTCGCCTAGGTATTTAAGTATGTTTATGTGTACATATGTAATTTTCAATCCTAGATATCATATCATCATAGTAAGAGGTATCTTTAGATGTATAATTTGTAGAATGTGTAATCATTATTATATGATAGTGAATGAAGAAAGCATTAAATAATGTTTAGTTCTTAAAATTACTTTTACTGAAAAAACATTTGTGTACATTAATACCCCATATATAATTATAATTTGACAATACACTGCTACGTGTATTGCTCTGATATTCTTAAGAACATACTGCTAGTTGTATATGAGGATGTTACTAGCTTAGTAATTTACTGGGCCCTGGTAAAACTGTAGTAGTAATGGTGAGGTACTCAATGAAAGTTTTTATGTGAACTTTTTTGTGCTGGACTTATTGAGACCAGGGAAAGAATATAAGATGATTGAAAAGGTTGTTGTTGTTGTACTCGTTTACCTGTGTGGCTGTTGAATGTTACTACTGTTACAGTAGTACAAATTCATGCAAAAGGTAGACATGTGTTAACAGAGGCTTTTGGTTTTTTCTTCACTATTTACATAGTAATTGTAAATAGTGCCTACTCTAGTACTGCAAGGTACAGGACAAGACTCAAAGGAAAAAAATCCCTCCTGTTGGGAGCTCAAGATTGTGGGGAGGAGACATGTAGATATTCATAGGACAGCATGTGTGACAGCAGCATATATGGCATGTTCCGTGCTGGTAGTTTATGAAGGGTCTCTGTTTTCTGTACTTCAGACTGGAAATCAAATACCAAGGTGATTGGGTCCTGGTGAAGACCTTCCAAGTTTTAGGTTGTTATCTTCTTTGTATCCTCACATGGTAGAAAGAGTTTACTTGGGTCCCTTTTTTAAGGGCACTAATCTCATTTATGAGGTCCCCACCCTCATGACTTAAATTTCCTAATACCATTACATTGGGAAATAGGGTTTCACCATATGATTTTGAGTGTGTGCTTTGGGTGACACATTTATCTTGCAATTTTCTCGTAGTACTAATCATAGGAAGTGATCATATTTGTAGATTTTTTTTTATCTCAATGTATTGTAAATTCTGTTATGCCTGTCATCTCATATATATGGGATGCTTGTAACAGTTTTCTTACATTTGTATTACATACCTTGCACATGAGGTACACCTAAGTAAAGTGAATGAACCACATAAATACATACATATATATATATATATTGCACCTAGAGGAGTGAGAGTATCATTTTGGGAAGAAAATTTGGGTTGAAATGGAGCCACCACTGAATTCCTCCTGTGTGATAACAACACAGTGCTTGTGATAATGTTCTTCTTTAGTGAAATTAGTACTACATCTCCATATTTTCTAGAAGATGTTCTCTAAATTTTATTGTTGAACAAAATATTTTACGTTTCTTGTTATTGAAAATTCTTTTGATATTAATATGGACAAAATTTTGTCCGTATGGAGTGCTTTGTTTGGAGCAACTATTCTAGAACCTTCTGATTTGAAATTAATTCTGATAATTTTTCAGTTGCCTCTGAAAACTTGATATCCTTTTATTGTTGACTTGATTCATGTTCTCAGCATTAGCATACATTTTAGCATGTTTAATTGTTACTCATTGTTTAAAATTATCCCAAGATTTACTTGCATTAATTGACTTGATATTTGATTTTCTTCTAATTTTATTCTTACTTACTTTATTTTTAAAAAATGAACAGTGATCCAGATAAGCACTATTTAATGTATGAACATGAACGGGTGCCCATTGCAGTGTGTGAGAAGGAACCCAGCTCCATCATTGCTTTTGCTCTCAGGTATCATTTGTTGGACTTTCTGCAATGTGGTTATAGCTATGTTCTTTATGTCTCTTTATTACCCTGCTTTGAAGATCTTTTAGGAAGGAAAACAGTGAAGGAAAATGATTTAAATATATATTCTTCAGGCTTAATGGTCTGTTCTTTATGTACCTGGAAACCTCTTTACCCAGATAGTAGGGTATGGTATCACCCTGAAGCTCTCACCCCCTGGGTTAACTTGATGAGTTGCATGTTAACCCTTGGATTCTCTGACCATTCCTCTATTATAATTTGTACCTTTGGATCCCTTGCTTTGATTTAGTTAACATACTGCTGGAACATATTTGCCTTATCTCATTTGAGTATCTTTTTTAATTACTCATTTCTTTCCTGCTTCCCACATACCCTAGGTAAAATTCTCCTACTTAATGCATGCTACCCCTGTGCCTTGCCTTATAAACATGTTTGACTGTTTAATTTGTGTGGCTGTCCTGTGTCTTTATAAAGAGTCATCACATTTAAAAATATTTATATACTATGTCTAGTTTTCAGTAATAAAATTCTTGGCAGAAATTGAACTTAGTTTAGGAGAAATCTAAGGTGCTTAAAATTTTTTTCTATTGTGAGACATTCAAAGTCTAAGTTTTTCATTTTAGATATGCTACAAAGTATTCATTTATTCAACAGATATTTGAAAGAAACCTCAAATAGTTGAATGTCTGTCAACTATCATATATTAGCTATGAATATATACACAAGGATCAAAAAGGTCGACATATACATGATTTTGGGGTTTAGTGTTTATGTTTGGATAAATCTGATATTTTCCTTTAAAAGATTCTGTATAATTCAAAAAATTTTTACCATTCATATCTTTATGAAATAGCATTTCCTTCTTTACTGATTAGTCATCATACATTAATGGATAAAAATAATATCAAAGTAAAAATCTTTTTGTACTATTAGGAATCAAGTACAGTATTCTATCAAGATCATCTTTTATTGAATGTCTTAGAAAAAAATATACCCTTACATGACTCTTATTTCATGAGATTTAATTTATCTAAAGCATGACTCCCAGCCTTCCAGTTCAATAGCCAGATTTTTTTTTTTAGAACCGGGGATTGAACTCAGGCCCTTGTGCTTGCCAGGGAAGAGCTTATTCTACTGAGCCATCTCCTTGGCCCCAGCCAGATATTTTTTGACTAATAGATCATTAAGAAAAACTTTAATCCTGAGGTTTGTAGTACTTTTAAGTAGAAAAACACTTTCAAGTTCCTTTACTATCTACTATGTAGACATTACTTTTCTTATGATGCTTCTGTTTGATGACTTATTAACCCAAATGCATTTAATTATAGACATTTATAATAATTTGTTTCTGTAATACAAAACTTATTCTAAAAGTTTGTGATGTATTTTTTAAAAAGGAATTAATGTTTAACATTTTTCAATCTGTTTCTACCCTAAGTTGTAAAGAATACCGAAATGCCTTAGAAGAATTGTCTAAAGCAACTCTGTGGAACAGTGCTGAAGAAGGCCTTCCAGCAAATAGGTGATCTAGGATTAAATAAAATCTGTTTTCATTTACTTATGTCATCACTTCCTATGTCCTTTGTCATTGTTATTCTCGCTTGCTCGCTCTCTCTCTCTCTCTCTCTCTCTCTCTCTCTCTCTCTCTGACAGAACCAGGGATTATATCCAGGCTCTTGCTTCTCTTTTGTAGCATATTATCAGTATAAAAGTTTCAGCTCATAATTGAAACAACAGAATTCAAGTATAGCAGAAGACCTTAAATAGGTCTTTTGGATGTAGTTTTCTGCTAGTTGCCACGTAATTCAGCCTATGTTGGAAATTTAAACTTCCAACAGTTTTGAAAATTAATGCAAGTATTTATTTAAAAATTAATATCTTGTGAAATTAGTACACTCCTGTTTGGTTTTATAATTTTAGGTAATTGTAATTTTCCATACTAACTAAAGATCCTAATAATTAAAGATTAGGATCCCCAAGCCAGTTTCTTAGACATTTTAACAGAAATTATCATAGGTTCCTTATTGTTGAGATAGCATTTCTTGTTTTACTGCTCTGGAAAAAATTTAATCTGAGTTATCTTGTTACTAGAATAAGAAAATGAAAATTGTTTGACTTATAGGTTAGGTACTGATCCACCTCTGACAGAGACTTTTAATATCTTTTGGTTTTGTGTTTTCCATACAATTTTATTGTTAGAAAATTTTTAATTTTTTTTGAAGTCCAGTAGATATTTTAAGACATTCTTACATGTTCTAATCTGTATTTATGTAAATTATGAACTGGATTTCTGTTATCATGGGTAGGATTAGATAGGGGAGTAATGTAAAGTCAGAATACTTGTTATGTTCTATCTGAATAATTTAAATTTAATTCTTTGGTTTTTCTTTTTAGTACTTTAGACAACAGGCCCAAGAGCAGTAGCCCTATTAGATTGCCTGAAATTGGTGGAGGACAGACAAGCCGTACAACAGATGCAGAACCTCAGCCAAGTAAGATTATAAGTTGGAAAATATTTATAATGGTTTTCTTTGTAATTATAGTTTGAAGAAGAAAGCACAGTAAGATATGATGTGAAATATCCATTAGAAAAAATTTCAAATATTTGAATATCTATGAAATGTGATATATTAGTCATCTGGTGAGGTTTTACTACATTTGGTGTTTGAAATAGAATATGAATTTAAATAGATTTGAACATTTTCTTTCAGATTTTTGGGTTTTTTGTTTCTTAAATTTAAATTCAAATTATTGAATTTGAAACCTTTGCAAGTTCTTTGTTTTATGTAAAAAGGATCTGTCTCCCTAGAGCTTTCCATTTTAAAAGTATAACAAAAATTACAAGAGAAAACCAGGCGTGGTGGTGCACGCCTATAATCCCAGCACTGGGGAGGTTGAGACAGAAAGATCACTATGAGTCTGAGCCTGCATAGTGAGACCCTGTACCAAATAAATAAATAATTTTAAAAAATTTTGAAAAGAAAGGATTACAAGAGAAATTTATGTTTTGTGTTTTAGTTATATTATTAACACTGTGATAAAATTTTATGTTATATGTTGTAGTTTTATATTATATTTAATCCCTGCAATAACGAGAAAAGGATTATGTGGTATCCTCATTTTTAGAAATGATATTAAGATTGAGTAACTTGATCAACATTATAGTGTAGTGGAGCTGCATTAGAACTCAGGTCTTCTTGACTTGGTCACTTAGGAATCCATTTTGCTAGGAGTAACAGAATTGTGAGGGGGTTAAGCAAATGACAGTTTGCTTTCTGTGAACTATGCCTGGAGATAGGCAGTTGCTGGTATTGGTTGGTTGAGTTGCTAAGCTTTGTGATGACAGTAGAGGAATAGTTTCTTTTTCATAATTTTTTTTGTGGTTATTAATATTCTCTGAATATTTGAGGTAGAAGGAAGGGTAGTCAACTGTTCTTTTTGTTAGGAATTCAGAGGTACCCTTCAATCTCACTGTTCAGAACTAGTCTCGTGGTCACTCTAACTGCAAATAAAGGGCAGACAGCATTATTCTGGTTGACTTAGACAGGTGATTCATTTCCTAGGTTTCTACACATAGCTACTCTCACAAAAATCAGACTTCTGTTAGCAAGGAACCATGTCAGAATTAGTATTAGAGGCAGTAATAACGCTCACCAATTTACTTTTTTTATGGATTTTACAAAGGTATATTTATAGTATTAGAATCAGACATGCTAATGATATGCTGAATGAAACCCAAAACTAGAAATAAAAGTAAAAAGTAAGCTTTAATAAATTCTTGGCCATACTGTTTATTTTTTGAAAGATAGTATAAACAAACTTTTATTTTCCTGTGTTTATATGTAAGAACGCAAAAGATACCAAAATGTTTTCTTTACCTCTGAATTCTGTAGCTTGTGGGATTGTTCTGTGTTAATTAGCTGTATTATAATAATGAAGAACTCAGCTGCAATCTAATCTTTTTTTTTTTTTTTTTTGTGGAACCGGGGATTGAACTCAGGCCCTTGTGCTTGCCAGGGAAGCACTTATTCTACTGAGCCATCTCCCTGGCCCCCCCCTTTTTTTTTCAATCTAATCTGCTTAAGATACTGTTACCTTGTTTTAATGTGGTACTGGGAATCAAACTTACAACCTCACACTTGTCTGGTGGGTACTATGCCACTGAGCTGTGTCCCTAGCCCTAAGGTTGCTTTTGAAAGGCTTTCTAGAGAATTTCTCACATTTTGACATTCAACTAGCTGAGCATTGCTTTTCTTCTAGTATGTTGTTGATAATAGAGGTACTTGGCTACTTAAAGATGTTGGTAACTTGTAGAATAATACAGTGGTACCATGGTGCATAAACTGAATTTGGTTCACAATTTTGGAAAAGATGGCTACATTTGTGTTGTGTGGGAAAGATGGTCTTGGTTGCTGTTGTCACGTGAACCATGGTACCACTGTAGTCTGTATAAATTAAAGTATCGGTATTTTGCAGAATTACTAGCTTTATATAGTTGTTCCTGTTAACAAAAACAGAAGTTGAAAATCCTTATTTTCTACTTGTAGTGACGTGTAATTAAAATTTGTTACCTTTTATTTTTAGCCAAAAAAGCTTCTGGAGTGTTGTCCTTCTTCAGAGGGACAGCAGGGAAAAGCCCTGACCTCTCTTCCCAGAAGAGAGAGACCTTACGTGGAGCAGATAGTGCTTACTACCAGGTTGGGCAGATGGGCAAGGAGGGAACAGAGAATCAAGGCATTGAACCTCAAGGTGTGTTAAGTAGACCAAATTTGTTTGAATTAATTAATTTTCTTATGTTTCTTATAGTCTAAGCAGGTAATTCCTACTATTGAGACCAGGGCATTCCCTTTACTTCATGGCATCTGGAAATTTCACCTAGTTTCAGATTTTGTGGCTTTCATTTACTATGTGATAGAACCAGAAATCCTGAATTTCTGTTTTTTTGTAATGATAGAGCCAGTATCTTCCAGGGTTAGTCACGCACACATACATAAAGCATCTGCCCCACTATTGAACTAACAGCCACTTAGATATTTGCATTCTATTACATTTGTATCCTAGATGTTTGTTTTCTTTTCCACTGCCTATAAGATTGTGCCTATGTTTTATATTTTAATATTAATATTTTTGATATTTTGATAAGGTTGTGTCCTACATTTTGATATTTTAAAAATAGGTGGATTGGATTATGTTTGGGGATGGGTTTACAAAGGTATTAGGCAGATTATGCTGACCTGTTTTTATAAATAAAGCTTTATTGCACACAGGGATACCCATTCACTTACATTATCTTATTGCTTTCAATATGGCAAGTTGGATAGTTGTAACTGAGTAAACTGCCTACTCTAGCCCCATAGAGAAATAGTTAGGTGATAGCAGCTTAAGTCATGAGTTGGTAGTTTAAGCATAGCAACTCCTATAATAAAGTATGATTAGTAATTAATATATCTTTAATATTCTGTAGGCCTGCTTTTGGGTTTTTGATGTTATGTGTCCTTGGAATTTTTTTTTTTTTTTTTTTGCGGAACTGGGGATTGAACTCAGATCCTTGCACTTGCTAGGGAAGTGCTTATTTCACTGAGCCATCTCCCGGCCCCCCTTGGAAATCTTTGATGCTTAAAAAATGAAATGTGGAGTTTAGGGAATGATCAGTTGTTTTAGGTATTGAAATGTAATAGTATTCCAAATCTACAGTAAAGACAGTGGGCCTGGCAGTAATTTATTCAGAAAGATCATGCAACACACACACACACACACACACACACACACACACACACACCCCTGAGCTGTCCCTGAGCTAGTGGCACATGCCATTAATCCCAGCACCCTGGAAGGTTTGAGGCAAGAAGTTTGAGGCTCACAAGTTTGGGCTCAGCCTGAGCCAGTTAGTGAGTTAGCTGAAACACTGTCTCAAGATAGGAAATAAAGGTCTGAAGATATAGATTGGGGCAAAGACCCTGAATTCATTCGCCAGGGGGGCAAAAAAGGATGACAGAAAACCAGAAAGCAAAAAGAAGTTCTCTGAATTAGAGTCACCTACATTGGGAAGCATTACTGTTCTTGTGGGGAAAAGTAGTTAGGAACTCTTTTAAAGAAGTCATGGAAATTCTTAAGTGTAAGAGCTGAATTTGCTATTGTAGGAGTTACTTAAATGTTAAAAGTAAGAAAAATTATTCAACCTGAATTCTGTATTTTCAACCTAAAAATAGATATTTGAAGGAATAACACATTTCTGTTATACTTGTTTACACAATTTAAACATCTAATGTTTGTCTAATAATGGCTTACTAGGATTTCTTTTTTTAGTACTGGGGATTGAATCCAGCAATCTAGGTGCTTCATACTGGCTACATCCTTAGGTGACCCCCTGCCGCATGCTTTTTATTTTTGAGATAGGGCCCTGCTATATAGTCTTGGCTGGCCTTGAACTCAACTCATGGTAATTCTTCTGTTTCAGCCTCTTGAGTGCTGGGATTACAGGCATGGACCTCAGCATGCTGTACACTACTAGGATATTTTATTGTTCATTTACTGTTTTTGTTGTTACATGAGGGGAAAAATGTAAATTGATAATAATTTAAAATTTTACCTTTACTAATGATATTAAACCTTTTAGATGAAATAGATGGAGGAGATTCACAAAAGAAACAGTTTACAAATCCTCACGTGGAACTTCGTAAGTATGAAATAATATATTATCCATTTGGGGATAGGGCAATAAATGAACAAACTGTTATTGAGACTTGTCTTTCATATTAGAAAGTATCCTATTTCTTGAAATGAATGTTAATTCTTTGTTGACAAAGGCTTTTTAAAATTAAAAAAAAAATTTTAAAGTAATTTTATTGAGAAACATATCAATGAGACAGTTTCACAACCGATTACTAGCACATTTTCAGTAGTTAATACATTGCATATTGTTGTCTTAGTGGTTATTCATCGTACAAGATGCAGACATGATATGATTTCTGGACTTATGTGTAAACATAAGAATTATATAATTCTTTGTGCCTATTTTAGAAATATATATATTTTAATTTTTTAATTGTTTTTTCATCATATTCTGTAGGGACTTAAAGTTCAATGTATCAGTACTTGATGAAAAATACCTGTTCCATGTTATGCCTAAGATGTTTGATATTCAGACAGATAGTGAGGTTAAACTTAACAGCCTAGGTTGTATGGTAATAACAATAAGCTTGTCTTCTGGAGGGTTAACAACCTAAGTTTGCAGACCAAAATTAGAGAAAAAGGAGGGCCGCAGGGAAAGCCAATATTTTGGCCCTGGCCTTCCAAGGTCAATTAAGACTCAGAACATATGAGAACTTGTACTGTAACGTCATGTAACTCGGTAGTATCCCAAATTTTCTGATCAAGGAGATTATGCGGTCAAAGAGGAAAGTGATCGATGATGTAGAGTGTGCCTACGGAGAGTCACATAGAGAGAAAACATTCTCTCAGGCTTTCACAGAGAGCACATTGGCCAAGCATTGTATCTGATAAGGCCGTGACACATCCACATGGCTGACACTGACGGGGGTTCTACAATCTGAGGTACAGGATCTCAGGATAAATCTTGAGGGGATTTCACTGACCTTATCAGATCCAAAAGCTACAACTCTTATTGCATAGTCTTGCTTTATCTTGGTCTTAACCATCCAGCACAAAAGTATAAAAACGAAGTATAAGAAGTAAAGCTATGCTGTTATGTTGAGGACTCAGGTCAACAATTTCTGACATTGCCAGTCAAGCAGAAGACCCAATACTATTATGGACTACTGGACTCTTTTAGACTATTTTGCTGAGTTAACATATCTGTAATATTCAAATGATGGAACTAAACAAAAAAGGGAATACAGATGAATGTCCATTTTGTATTTATGTATTCAAAATGGTTAGGATATAGTTACATTCTCTTAATGAATAGAGGGATTTGTTGTAATAGTGTTTGTAAATAGGATATCATGTCTGCATGTTGTACAGCAAATAACCACTAGGAAAAGAGTATGCAATGTGTTAATTATTGAAACTGTCCTACCAGTTTGATTTGAAACTGTCTCATTGCTATTTGTTTCTCAATAAAGTTATGGAAAAATAAATACATTTAAAAAAAATGTAACTTTTGTATCTGATAAGATCAGTCAAATTCCCTCAGGATTTAACCTGAAACCCTATACAGCAGTTTGTAGATCCTTTGTGAGTGTCAGCCATGTGGATGAGTCACAGCCATTGCTTGACCAATTTACTGTCTGTGAAAGCCTGAGAGAATGTTTTCTCTCTATCTGACTCTCCTTAGGCATACTCTACATCATCGATCACATTCCTCTGTGGCTCCATAATCTTGATCAGAAAATTTGGGACACAGCTGAGTTACATAATGTTACAGTATAGGTTCTCCTATGTCCTGAGTCCTCACTGACCTTTGAAAATATATGAATAATTACATAATTTTACACAGAAATTAAGAAATCTAACCATATACAGCATTGTAAAAGGACTGTCCTGTGACATTTTTTTTTCCTATCTCTTGTTTTCATTTATTGCCCTTTTTGTAAAACAAACATTTACTTGAGAGACAGTATGACTGTAATTGGTATATCATGACAAGCAATATGTATTTAGAAGAGCAGAATGGCAGGCATTCTAAGCATGACCCTACCATTATACATTGCTATCTTCAGTGCAGTTGCTTAGTTCACAGTTGTCAGCATGTTAGTCAGGGTGAGAATCCTACCAATTAACTGCTAGTTTCAAAAACATGCTGCAGAGTCTCAGGATCCTTGCCTTACTTATGTTGTGCGTATAAATGTATGGCTTTGCACCTGTTGTGTTTCCAAGCTTTTCTCCTTGCCCTCTCCTCTTTGTCCAATCCTCAAGTTCTTGCTTTCCTTTTAATTGTGTTATACCTTTCTATTTGTATTTC